GGCAAAACATGCGTACACATAAAATGAAAATAATAAAATAAGCCGGGTATAGTGGTACACACCTTTAACCCCAGCACTCTGGAGGCAGAGGCAGGCAGACCTCTGTGCGTTCAAGGCCAGCCTGGTCTACATAGTGACCCATAGTGACCAGGACAGCTAGGGCTACAGGGAGACCCTGTCTCAAAAAGACCAAAAAAATAGAAAATGAAATAAATAAATAATAAAAAAAATTCTTTGCATTGCATTCTAAAATTCAACTGCATTTTATTGTATCATTTTGTTATCTCATTTTTATGATTTTGCTGTGGATTTTACTTTTTTATTTATTATTTTTATTTTATGTGTATGTGTGTATTGCCTGTCTGTAGGTAAGTGCACCCATGTTGTGCGATGCCTGCAGAGGACAGAAGAGGCTGCTGGATCCCCTAGAACTGGAGTTATGGACAATTGTTAGCTTCCATGTGGGTGCTGGGATTCAAACCCAGGTCTTCTGCAAGAACAGCAAGTGTTCTTAACTGCTGAGCCATCTCTCCAGCGCCCCCCTTTTTAAAATGTGTATGAGTGTTTTGTCTGCATGTATATAGGTGCATCACATGTATGTAATGCCCTTGGAGACCAGAAGAGGGCATTGGATCCCCTAGAACTAGAGTTGCCAATTTTGCTTTTTTTTTTAATTTGGCTCTTTTAGTTGCCTTTTTGAGTATGGGTAACTGAACCTGGCTCGGGGCACAGGCTGCGACTGATTCCCAAGTTCCCAAGTTCGTCACATCACCAAGGAAGTGTCATTGGCTCACCCTAGATCTTTGGTGACTCCAGTGACAACCTAAACAGTCACTTCCTTAGACTCTAAGGGAGTGCACAGGTCACTGTGAAAACAGACCAATTTAGGGAGGCTGTAGGAGTGGGCTGTCTTTGCCAAGTTTCTTCTAAATACTGAGAAAGACTCAAAGCCTTGTTAGCACAATAAGGTAGTAGTAGATCAGTCTCAGAAAAATTGGGAAAACTTGGGGGAAAACAATTTCACTTTCTGATTAAATACAATTGTGGGAGCATCCTGAGGGGTCTTTTAACAACGTTCCTTGTTACGTAAGTTTTAAAAAAAAATTTAGTTATTATTTTTATTTTATGTGTCTGAGTGTATTGTTTGCATGTATGTAAATGTACTTGTGTCATGCAATGCCCCAGGAAATCAAAAGAGGTAGTCAGATTCCCCTGGAACTGGAGTTACAGATGTTTGTTAGCTGCCATGTGGGTTCTGGGAATCGAGCCTGGGTCCTCTGCAAGAGCAGCCAGTGCTCTTAACCACTGAGCCATCTCTCCAGTCCTATGTCAGTTTTTTTAAGCACAGTAATTTGCTAAAGATTTAAAGTCTGTGTGTCAAAAAAATCATTATTTATGGTACAACTATGGATTTGTGTAAGGTGCGAAGGACTGAAACCAGGAGCCATGCATGGAAGCCAGGTGAACTTCAGGGCTCTCTCTCTCTCTCTCTCTCTCTCTCTCTCTCTCTCTCTCTCTCTCTCCTCTCTCTCCTCTCTCTTTCTCTGTGTGTCTGTCTGTCTGTATCTCTCCTCATTAAAAAAATTATTTTTATTTTATGTGTATGAGTGTTTTGCCTGCATATATGTAAGTGCACCCATGTCATGTCATGCAATGCCTGTTATGGTCAGAAGAGGGTGTAGGATGTCTGGAACTGGAGTTACGGATGGTTGTTAGCCACCATGTGGGTGCTGGGAACGAAACCTGAGTCTTCTGCAAGAGCATCCAGTGCTCTTGACCACTAAACCAGTCCCTTTCCTCCAGTCCCTCTCCTCAATTTTTTGAGACAGGGTTTCTCTCTAGACTTGGAGCTGGATGATTTGGCTACTGGTTGGCCACCAAGCCTCAGGAATCTGCCTGTCTTCCCCTCCAATGCTGGGATTACAGATGCACACCACCACTGCACCCCAGCTTTTAAATGAGTGCTGGTGATCTGAATTCAAGTCCTCGTGCTTGCACAGCATGCATTTTACCCACTGAGCCATCTCCCCAACCCCTATGGAATTGTTTTTAATAGCTAATCATTGTTCTCTCTTTGGCATTTTATTGGCGGGGGGCAGTATTTGAAGGTGAGATTTTTTTTATTTGAGTACCCAAATCAGTCCTTAACAGAACTAAAGTACCTGAGAACACTCCTGTTCTTCATGAATAAAATATGGAGTGGGAGCCAAAGGAAGGTTGCAATTTAAGTTTCACCTTAGCTACACTACATATTCAAACAGTACAGGTGGTAAAACTCACAAGGCACTCAGGTTAAAAAATAATAGCAGAGGTCCCTTCATAAATCTTACAGACTGGGAAAGGGGGTGCATCTTCTGCCTCAGTCTATATTTTCTTGTACAGTTTCTGACAAATGGCCTTAACCAGCAATGCTAGTCAGCCCTGCATCCCATTCCTAAGTTCTCTTGCACCAGGGAAGATTCTGAACCTCATGGGAAAAATCCCAAGTCTCCATAAAATACAGGCTCTAAACTCTGTTAGGAAAGGTAACAGGAAGAAGAGCCCACTAGCAAAATTCATTGCTCATACTATATATGTCTTTTCTCAGAATAAAATAGACAAAGCAAACTTTGCCAACAATAAAACAAGATGACAGGCTGGAGAAATGGTTCAGCAGTTAAGAGAACTTGCTGCTCTTCCAGAGGACCCAAGTCCTAAGTTCAGATCCCATCATCTATGTTGCGCTGCTCACAACCACCTGTAACTCTAGCTCCAGAGTATCTGACACGCTCTTCTGGGCACCTTCACACATAATTAAAAATAAATCTTTAGTTGCTTTTTTTTTTTTCTGGCGCTGAGGACTGAACCCAGGGCCTTGCACTTGTTTTGAGGCAAGCGTTCAAACCACTGAGCTTCATCTCCAACCCCTAAAAGAAATCTTTAAAAACAAAACCTGTCAGGTAGTGGTACACACCTTTATTCCTTATCACTCAGGAAGCAGAGGCAGATGGAACTCTGAGTTTGGGGCCAAGCTGGTCTACATAGTGAGTTCCAGTTCAGCGAGGGCTACATAAGACACTGTCTCAAAAAAACCAAAGAGGATTACAATGGAACAGATCAGCCAGTCTCCTGAAGGACACAGAAAGGGAAGACACAACTCCTGGCTTGCCCTCTCCCAATCCCAGCTCCTTGGCAGAACAGTAGTAATGACAGCGGAAGTCAAATTTCTGATAGAGATTCTGTATCAAGGCCTAAACCAGAGATCTGGACTAAAGTTAGGAAACCCTGGGAAGAACACAAGCCAGAAGACAAAGGAGAGTCTTCAAAAGATAAAGGAGTCTTAGCACAAGCAGGGGACCACCTGTGCACAACAGACAGGTGAGCAAAACCAGGCTTAGGTACTTATACCAGGGCAAATTTTAATGTGTTGCTCTTCTCACCACAAAATTGTACTGAAGCCTTTTATAGCAAGATTCCAGCCTGATCCCAGGAACTGGGTTGATGGTTTTATTACTGAAGTTATCAAAACATCAGCTTCAGGCAGGTTTGCCTTAAACAGCACTAGGGAGCCTCCAAGTCCAGGCTAAGTGGAAGCCTTTGTTCCAGGCATTTTAGCCTCAGGCAGGCCTTTACTTTCACTTCAGGTTCCCAAATCAAATTTAAAGGTGTTTCCCAAGCCCACCAATAACAACAGCAGGAAGAAAATAAAACAAAACAAAAAATCCAAGCAGGTCTGCAGCTTTCCTGGAAACTCTGTTCCCCAGGACAGCACCATATTACTGGCTTTACCTCTAGAATAAGGTCCTCTTTTTCTCTCTTTAAACTACCACACATGCACCCTTTCCTGCACATACATTTTCAAATACCTTGCAAACAACCCCCCAATCCAGCCTTTCCAGGGAAGATCTATCAAGTACAACTGAAATAATAATAAAGCAATTGAGTAATTTAATTAGGAAAAACTAGGCTTAGTGCTCTACTGTGGGACCAATTAGGAGGGGTATAGAAGAGGGAAGCGCACAGATGCACACGCCAGTTTAAACAAATGGAGATTTAGCACCAAGCCTCTCCACAAAAAGCAGCCAGGAAAAAAAAAAGAGTGCCCTCCTATATGAAGGCTCAAGGCTTAGTTAACTTTATTCCGTTTCTGACTGAAAGTAGTGCCTGCCAGATGTAGAATCAAAACTGTCTTCGGAGATGGACTTTGTAGAGAGAAAGTTTAGTTCAGAGCCGGGCGTGGTGAAGCACACCTTTAATTCCAGCACTCCGGAGGCAGAGGCAAGCAGATGGATTTCTGTGAGATCGAGGTCAGCCTGGTCTACATAGTTCCAGGTCAGCTGTGGCTACAGGGAGACCCTATCTCAAAAAGAGCCCCCCCCCAAAAAAAAGTTGAGTGAATTCTCAGTAAAAGTTCTTAAAACTGCAATCACGGGGCACTACTGTTGCTGACGCAATTTCTTCAGCGTGAAACATTAAAGTTCTTTCTCTAGAATGCTTACAACCTTCACGGAGAATGTTAACCGCCACATTCTACTGACCTTTTCAAGTGACCTTCCGCTTTGGTGGCAAAAAGAAATGTTAAGAAAACTATACTCGAATCCTAACTCAACTTCCTTAGGTCTTGGAAATAAAGCGCAGGAAGCCCCCACGGGCTGAAGGGCTGCTAACACCCGCTCCTCGAACAAGAAACAGTTTGCAAAGAATCCCCAGCGCCGTGCCCACTCCCGGACAGGCACTGCCAAGCCCAAACGGGGACACGAGGCGCAAATACAGCATCCTAGGGACGTATCTGCCTAGACCCGGGAAGCCCGTCCGTCCCCAGCGACTCGGGCCCCACCTGCGCCCCGGCAGCGGCCCCGCGGGGGAGGAGTGACACCCGCAGCTGTCGCCGACCTGGCCAGGCGCACAGCCGCCTTTCTCCGCCGCCGGCTCGGCCGCCGGTCCCTCCCCCACCGCGGCCCGGGTCCTCCCGGCCGCCTGCACCGAGCGCAGCTGCCCCGCGCAGGCCGGGCCGCGCTCACCTCGGTCTTCCGCCCCGCTGTCCAGCTCGGCGTCCGAGGACTCGGGCCCGGCCGCGTAGTCCGCGAGCCCCACCAGCTCATCCTCCTCGTCGTCCTCGTCGTCCTCGCCCTGCGGCTGCGGCTTCCCCAGCACCTGGCTCATCGTTCCTCGGGGCTCGGGGTCCCGCGCCGGCCTGCTCCCGGGCTCCCCGCCGCCCGCAGCCGCAGGAGCCAGCCGGAGCGCGGCGGTCCTCCCCGGAGCGAGGGAGCGACTGCGTGACCCAAGTCACCTGACGCTGTCACACACGCACCGCGCGGGCGCGCGCTCGCCTGGCCGCGGGCAGCGCTTGGCGGGCGGAGGCCACACGCTTGCGCCGCGTTAGGTGCGTGTGCACCCTGCGCCTCCCGGCCCCCGCACCTCCTGCACCGCCTCTGGGCACGAGGGGCCCCGCCGGGGTCTGTAAGACCACCCCTCCTTTCCCGCCCGCGCGCGGCGCCCTTGTCTTGAGTGATAGTTTTCCAGCTTTCCGTCCGTCCTGGGCCAGGGCTCAGGCCCCAAGTGGGCTGCTCCTGCCTGTACCGCCGGCCCAGGCTCCCACCTCGTAGCAGCATGCCCGGACTACGGGTGGATGCTGGGGCACCCCAGAAAAAGAACTCAGACATGTACAGCGGCAGGGCAGTTTCCATAGCAATTGCCTCTTAATGTGCCTCTTAGGATTCAGAGTGAATATTCAGAAACCTGCTCTACATAGATATAAATGTTTCCAAAGAAATCACATGCCTTGTAGCTGCCTATACTAAATAATAATTTACTCTGCAACCTGTCGGAAAATGTCTCGGGTGTACAACGTGCCCAGGGGCTTCATGGCTAGCTCCTTGTATCTCTGTGTAGTTTGACATGTTTCAAGCTTTGGGGGGGGGGGGCAGCTCTCAAATTGGAACAGTTACAATGTGGGGGTGAAACAAATATACTTTCCTCCCTCAGGAGCTTTCCACCATTGGACATAGTGTACCCACCCTTTCTGGAGAGAGAAAGAGAGGAGAGAGAGAGAGAGAGAGAGAGAGAGAGAGAGAGAGAGAGAGAGAGAGATTTAGAGAGAGAGAGAGAGACAGAGAGACAGAGAGACAGAGAGACAGAGAGGAGGAGAGGAGAGAGAGAAAGAGAGAGAATCATGCGCATGGACTTCCTTTACTTAAATACCAGAATAAAAAAATTCCGCTGGCCAGCCAATTGATCCAGATCCAGCAGGTGCCAGCAGCCCAGCAGGTGGTGTGGCAGAGGTGGAGAAGGTAGCTCAGGCGGGAAACTCTTGGGGACCAAGAGTTTCTGTGTCAGTACTAAATAGGCTACTCTATGCCAGCGGCAGGGTTGGGGGAGGAGGGGGCGTGTGCTGGGATGCTCTGGGCAGGAATAGAGGAGCTAAAGCCCTGACTCCTGTCCTGGATTTTCTAGAGAATGGTTGCAGACAACTAGGTGTATGACTGCTTCTAACAGGTTCTCTTGAATTCTACCTAGATTCTACAGGTAGAGGCAGTATAACTTGGTATGGCTGTATGGTCAAGGTCCGTCCAGGATTCTTGCAAAGCTTTTAACTGAAAAGGCGAAAAGGCCTTTACATGAAGAGACAAATTGCAGAGGTATATGCAGAGTTTAGGGAGTCAACACAAGGATCAGCAAGTGGGTGATATTACCACTTCTAAATGAAGGGAGCTAGAGTTCTGAAGAGGAGCCAGAAGTTAGAAACAGAGCTTACACTCAATCAGGAAGCAGCTGCTAAGAACCACCAAGTAGACAAGAGTGAAGGAATACCCTGACAGTTCTTTCCTCCCTTCCTATGGACTGTCTCTTTCCACTGTCCTGGAAATGCCTGCCAGTGGTCCACCCTAAGAAGAACCCATGGTGCATGGAAGGCTGAACCCTAGGGGAGGACAAAAGCTGAGTTGGGAAGCAGACAATGAGCCTCAGTGTGCGGTGAGAAGCAGGGTGGTAAATGGCAGAAGCAGGCTCTGCTTGCTCTCCATACAGGAGATGTCTTTCTGAACCTCACAAGAACACCATTTCCCCAAGAGTCAGTAGGAAGATCAAATGTGAAAGATTCGCAGGCAAGACAAAGCTCCTTTCCTATGGGTGACTTTCCTTTCTATAAAAGAAGGGGGTGATGGGGCTGGAAAGTTGATTCACTGGTTAAGAGCATTGGCTTTCTGGAGCCAGCAGCTTGCTGGGTAAGTTTGGCTGCTGGCCCACTGTGCCTTGACTCCCCCAGCCTCATTCACTTTCCCAGCTCCCCCACCCCATCTCTCCTCCTAGCAGGGGGACTGGCACATTTCTTGTCTTGGCACCCCAGACCCATGGACTGACCCAGAATCCCCACTGCTTCCTGATCCTTTGCATCCAGACCAACCAAATTCCTCCCTGTAGTCCCCAGGAGCCCTCAGGCCTCTTCTCGTCCCCACCTCCCTTTGCATCCCTTGGGGCCAGCATCTTTCCTGGGCACTGCTCCCAGGCCAGCCCAGCCCTCAAATTCCTGAGGCCAACATCTTTCCTGGAGGGATCCAGACATTAGGAGAAAGGCTGAGAGCATCTGATTCTCATCCAACTTGGGTCTCTGTGGGAACTCCTGTGCAGCAAGACGAAAGTAATTTGGCCACTCCAATATAAAATCAAAAGAGAGAACCTGAAGCCTAGACCAACCAGCTTTTCATGCCCAACAAGTAAACCACAAAGGCACATAAAGTTTACAAAAAGAAGCAGACCTAAATTCAACAAAGGAAGGCTTGAGTCTCACACAAAAACCAGAATCTACAAAAGAAATCCACAGAGAATAAATAACATGAAAAATCAAAATAATATATCTCCACCAACTACCATCAGCCCTCTAGAGGAGTACAGTGAGAACCCCCTAGAGATAACACAGGATATAGAACTCAAAAGAAAAATTATAAACATGATAAAAGAATTCAGTGAATTTAAAGAACACACGAACAGCCCTGGCTGGCCTGGAGCTCGCTTCGTAGACCAGGCCGGCCTTGAACTCACAGAGATCTGCCTTCTTCTGCCTCCTGAATGCTGAGGTTAAAGGCATGTACTACATGCCCAACTTTTAAATACAGATTTTAAGCATAAGGATTAAGAGAAAAGGAAAGGCAACCAGCAAGAAAGATAGATCAGAGAGCAAGGGTGAGGGCTTCTCTAAGAGAGAGCTGAGCTGCATTGCCTGGGCAATAGTCAAGAACGTAGAATTTTTAGTAGGGTTTGAAGCAGTTGTCTTTAAAGGGTGGCTGAGGAACCTAAATGAGATAACAAGGTGGTTTCTAAGGGTTACAATACTATCACAGAGATGCAAGAAGGTAGGCTATCTTTACTGTAAACAAAGTTAACAATCTTGTTTGAAATTTCCCAGAAAATGTCTGGTGAAAGGGAAGAGGCCTACCCAAGGTCATATACATTCAGGCCTTAAGCTGAGTCCTTGCTATTTTAACTCAAGGAATATTATTTCTTTATCAGCAACCATTACGGCAAATGTTAATTGTGCTGGAATTCCTGCTTCTCAGGTGAGACAATTCAGCCAGACTCTGGGGTGAGGGGCTTCTTCACATCTCTATAATTTTCTCTTTGTGTCCTACCTGTCCCACAAAAGTCAAGGGAAAGTAAAATCTTTATATTTTTTTCTCCCCAAGCTAAATGAAAGAGTCAAATCCAGGTTTAGGGTATTCTAATTCACTGTCATTTCAAATGTGTAATATTGACAAAGTTTGAACAAACAGAATAGGAATAACCTTGATTGCTTTTCTTTGGCTGCTGCTATCATTTCAGTGCTGTTAGCTTTCAAACTAACAGTATGTCGGGGGAGGGGAGGATCCTAGAAACAATTCCTGAAGTTTAAAAAAATCCTGCCTCACCTCCCTCTGCTTCCCTGGGCCTGCACTACCGACAGGCCTCTCTCCTGGGTAAGTCTCTCGCACCCTCCCTGCCTTGACTCCCCCAGCCTCATTCACCCTCCCACCTCCCACACCTGTCCTCCTAGCCTGGGTCCTGTCCCATTCCTTGTCTTGTAGCCCCAGACACCAGGGGAACCACCACTGCTTCCTGATCCTTTGCATCCGGACCAACCCAGTTCCTTCTCAGATCCCCAGGAGCACTCTGGCCCCTGGTCCCACCCTCACCTCCTTCCTCTTCCCTGGGCCTGCATGACCTGACCCTCAGGCCTCTCTCCCAGGTAAGTTCATCAGCCCTCCTTGCCTTGACTCCCCCCACCTCATTCACCCTCCCATCTCCCCAGCCAGTCTCTCCTCCTAGCCTGGGGCCTGTCCCATTCCTTGTCTTGGCACCCCAGACACAGGAGAACCACCACTGCTTCCGGATCCTTTGCATCCAGATCAACTCAGTTCCTTTTCAGGTCCACAGGGGCACTCTGGGCCTTGCCCCACCCTCACTTCCCTCTGCTTCCCTGGGACTGCACCACTCTCCAGCCTCTTTCCTGGATGCCAGGGCTGACCTTTCCTCTTCCTGAACCTTTGCATCCAGACCAACCCAGCTCCTCAGTGCAGTCCCTAGGGGCCCTTGGGGCCGCCTCCCACCCCATCTTCCTTTGCATCTCTGGGTGACAAAGCCACCAGCTGCCCTAGACCAGCATCTTTCCTGGGCCTGGCTCCCAGGCCAGTCCAACCCCCCAAATTGCTGAGGCCAAAATCTTTCCTGGAGGAATCCAGACCTTAATAGAAAGCCACATGGGAACTCCTGAAGAAAAAAGTAATCTGGCCACTCCAATATAAAACCAAAGAGACCAGGAAGCTCAGAGGAACCAGCTTTTCAGGCCCAAAAAGTAAACCACAAAGACACATAAAGTTTACAGAAAGAAGGAGACCTAAACTTGAAGGCTGGAGTCTCACACAAGAATCAGAAACTACAAAAGAAATTCACATGTCAAAATCACAGAGAA